CAAAAGAAAAGAAATATATCAATATTATCATTCAGTTTTTTTTTCACGCTATTTTTCATTCCCTTTTTTTTCTTCTTCTTCTCATATAAGAGAAAGAGCAAAAGAAACAAAAAATAGAAAAAACTATAAACATGTAGATCTATATTAAATTGTTTGTTAGATAGATAGAGAAAGAGAGACAGAGAGAGAGTATAAGAGACATACACATACATAAAAAAAGAAAAAACTCTTTCACCATCTTTTGACATTCACTAGAAATAAGAGATTATTAGAATAATAAAATCAATTTTTTATTGATTTACTTAATACATACAACATTTTCAATCATTACTATTAATCAAATGCATATGTTTCCATTTGGTCATGTTATATACATGCCTTTGTCATCATCAACAACAACAACATTATTAGGACCTATATCACCAGATTTTTCATCTTCTTCTATAATTCCGTTATATAATACAACACTTTTAAACAATCCATTCAACTTATACACAAATCCGAAGTGTAAGTTTTCTTTATGTGAAAAGCTAAGTACTTGAAATAATAACTTCCTAAAAGTTATATAATAATGAATATTGACAAGTAGGACGAGTTCCTTATTTATTGTCATATTGAATTATTTTATAGTCTAATATTATGCCAAAATAAATAAATTATAATACATAATGACAATATTTTATATCTTTAGTTGAATATAGTATTCATCAACAAACATTACCACATAGATTCAAACGTATACGTGATGATTTTCATGATATACAAGAAAAAAAACGACCGAAATTAACACCAACTATTAATAATAGTTCATCATCATTATCAAAAAATGCACTTATGTTATTACATGAACTTAAACCTTCAATTGAATATAAACTTATTGCACAAACAGGTCCATCTCATCGACCTATGTTTACTATGGCTGTTGAACTTAATGGACAAATATTTGAAGGTATAGCTCAAACAAAAAAAGAAGCTAAACAAGCAGGTAAATAATAATAATAATAATTAAATTTAATGATTATTATTATTATTCTTTTTTTTTTTCTTTTTTATTAGCTGCTGAAAAAGCACTTCGATCATTTTCTCAATTATCTTTTCCATTGTCTGATAATTTAAAAAATGACTTCCTATTAACAAATATGAATAATGATAATAATATACAATTAAATATTTCTAAATCATATGAAAATCAAAATGAATTAAATCCATTTTATCTTCTTAAAAAATTAAAACAAAATTTTGAATGTAAAGAAATTACAAATGAAATAATATCTGAACAAAATGAATTTAAATTTATTATTACTATTGATAATCAACATTTTATTGGTATAGATGAAAATAAAAATATAGCTAAAATAAAAGCAGCACAATATGCATTAGAAAAATTATTTGGTATGTGTTTTCATAAACAAGGTAAATAATATTATTATTCAATTTGAATAAAAAAAATTTAATTCTTATTTAATATTTTTGATTTATTGATAAGTTCATTAATAGAATATATGACTTTGATTCAATTGTATAGATTTCGACATTTGTTTGTTTTTATGCTTTCTAATATAAGAATTGAATTTGCTTAAGGCAATAAAGCGTTTTTTTTCTTTTATTTCCACTTATGTCAAATGATAAAAATCTTTCAGTAGAAAACAAACTATGAAGTATTATTATAATAAAGTGTTTCTCTAGAAAATAAATAATTGATCAATTAGAATTAACAATATATATATATTTAAGTGTAAGTACTCAACATTTTCAATGATTAATATTGAATAAATTTTGTGTATGATAAATATAGAAAAAAGAAATAAATTTAATTAGTAAATGATTGATTTAGAATTCATATCGATCTATACTACATAGAAAATGTTGTCAAAATCTATTAGAAAATAAAATTTGAATAAGTCTTCAATAGTTCAATCGATTTTACATGTTTCTTAACATTCTTTTCGACTGAAATTTTCAGGATTTTCTACAAATGTTTCTTTCTTATATGTATATCTCTAAAGATGGATCGAAAAAACTATCATAGGAACGAACCATTTTAGAATTTTGCTATTCTCACTAACGAGGGAGCATTCTCAACTGTCACATCGCTTTTAAGCTGAACGTATGCGCATTATGTAGACCCTCACGATCTCTGAATTCTCTGAAAAAAGTTCGTGCTGCTAGCTTATTATTGCCGAGATACAGCGTTTTTACTGTATGTTTAAGAAAAAAAAAAGCCGTGGTCCCCCTCAGGAACATCGGAAAGCTGAATTTCGAATTTCGTCTTGAAACTTTGCATAGATATAGGCCTTAATGAGAATAGTTTATTGTGAAAGTTTCAGCTCTTTTCGCTGTTCCTATCCTAAGATATAGCTATCGTAAAATTGTTCATATACACCAGCAGATCCGATGTTCTTATCTCAGACTAGGAGCAACCAAAAAAATCTGAAACCTTCACAATAAACTATTCTCATTGAGGCCTGTCTGCATGCAAAGTTTCAGGTGGAAACTCAAAAGTCACTTTTCCTGATGTTCCTGAGGGGGACCACGGCTTTTTCCTTAAACACACAGTAAAAATGCTGTATCTCAGCAGTAAGAAGCTAGCAGCACGAACTTTTTTCAGCACATTCATAGGTCATTAGGGCCTACATAATGTCCATACGCTCGACTCAAAAGCAACGTGACAGTTGGGAATATTCCCTCGTAAGTCATTTTTCTTAGCCCAATATGAGCTTAAACGATAGGTATAAGAATTGAAATAACAATAAAAATCAGTAACAAGAGCAAAATGTTTTCGCAGAGAATTCTACACAGTACAGAATCTATCGTTTGGATTTAGGTTTCCACATCAGTAGCCATAAATAAAATTATTGAAAGCTTACAGGATATTTATTAAATAGTATATATATATCTAATTAAATAAATATAAAATAAATTTTTTTATTTTTGTTTTCATAGATTGTCTATCAATTGAAAATGATAGTCTTCCAAATAATCTTTCTTATTCTCGTCAAATTCTTGCTGATCGTATTGCATTATGTATTCAAGAAAAATTTCATGAATTAACTAAAAATAATGTACGTTTTCAACGACGTAAAGTTTTATCTGGTATTATTCTTTTACATAATTATAATCTTGAAACAATGGAAATTATTTGTATAACAACAGGTACAAAATCAATAAATAGTAATTCTTTAATACAAAATGGAAAAATTCTACATGATTGTCATGCTGAAATATTAGCACGTCGTTGTCTTATTTATTATTGTTATGAACAATTAAAATTATATTTAAATGAAAAATATGATGAAACAATATTTGAAAAAATTTCTCATAATAATCAATATCAAATTAAATCATCAATTACATTTCATTTATATATATCAATAGCACCATGTGGTGATAGTCGACTTATATCACAACAAGATAATACATATGAAAAATCATCATTAATTAATTTAAAACAAAATTTAAAATATTCATTAAAAAAATCATGTGGATTATTACGAAGAAAAATTGAAGTTAGTGAAGGTACAATACCTATTTTAGCTAAAACAATTTATCAAAATATATCAATATGTGATGAATTAATTTCTAATGAACGATTTTTAACAATGTCTTGTTCAGATAAATTATGTCGATGGAATTTTATTGGTTTACAAGGTAAAAAAAAAACAAAAATTTCAATTTTTTTGTTGTATTTAATTAAATACTATTTTAATAGGTGCTTTATTAAGTACATTAATTAATCCAATTTATTATACTAGTATTATCATAGGAAGTTTATATAATAGTGAACATATTCGACGAGCATTATTTTCTCGAATAGAACATGTAAATAAAAAGATTGTATAATAATCAAAAAAAAAAATAAGAAACATGATATTAATATTTATAGAAAGTATATAATATGCCAATTCCATATGGATTACGACGACCATTTATAACAGATATTACCAATCCCGAAATACGAAATACAACACGATCATCAAATCATGCATTGATATGGAATTGTATTGATCAAAAATGTGAAATTATCGATAGTTTAAGTGGATTAACAATATCACGTAAGATTTCATTGTTTGTTTTTTTATAATTTCTATTTGTACATATATGAGAAATTGTAGATGAACCATCAATAGTATCAAAAATAGCTTTATTTCAACAATGGACAAATTTAATGAATAAAATTAAATCAGAAACAATACCAAAGAATTATTATGATGCTAAACAATTAGCTGTAGATTATCAAACAGCTAAAATAAAAGTAGAATTTTGTTTGTGTTTTTTTTCTTTGATGATTAATGATGGTTTTTATTTTTCGTTAAAGGTTAATCAAGCATTTGAAAATTGTGGATTTGGTCTATGGATTGTATGTATTTGATTTAAAACGAAAATAAAATTTTTGAAATTATTTATTTTTATATATAGAAAAAACCAAATGAACAAGATCAATTTGATTTATCATCATTGCCTTTTGAAAACAAATGAATCGATTCTATCTGTTTCTTAAATGATTTTGATGTTTGTTTTTTTTTTTTTTTATTTTCTAATTAAAATAGTTTATATACGATATTTTTAAATATATTTATTGATTATTTTTTCTATTTTCATGGGAATTTTGTTTGAAAGACATAATATTGTTCAATACCCCCCGCCCTCCTCCGAATATGATCTTGTTATTCGCAATGAATAAGGACTCGGAAACTGCAGGTTCGTTCAAACTTGATCCAGCACAAGATGAATCCATAACTCTCTAATGAATTCATATGCTTTTTTTGGCTAAGAAAAGGGAGAGATGATCACCTTGAATGTTTTCTTCCATATTCGCCACTAGTATAAGCACAGTACGATTAGATAACTTGCTTTAAACAGGTTATACGATACCAAAAAAAAGAAAAATCTTATCCTGTCATGAATAGATAGTTTAATTTAATGGATCTCTATCTGAAATAGAATCCAGTCTAATTAAACCTGTTCTATTACAACATCTTCCTTTTTGTTTTTAGAAATTCATGTCGTTCACATTAGCATCCCGAATTCGATTAAATGATGGTAATTTAATGCCAATATTTGGTTTAGGTTTATATCAAGCAGCATCATCATCGAAAACAACTCAAATTATAACTGATGCTATACGTCTTGGTTATTCATTAATTGATACAGCCGAATTATATGGAAATGAAACACAAGTAGGTGAAGCTGTAAAAAAAACTATTGATCGTGAACAAATATTTATAACAACAAAAATTTTTCGTACAAATGATGGTCGTCAAGGTCTTCATAAATCATTTAATAATTCACTTCAACAATTGAATACAAATTATATTGATTTATATCTTATTCATGCACCACAAGGTGGTCATATACTTGAAGTTTATAAAGAAATGATTCAATTACAAAAAGAAGGTAAAATTCGTTCAATTGGTGTATCAAATTTTGGTGTTCAACATTTAAAATGGTTAAAACAAGCTGGTTTTGTACCAGCTGTTAATCAAATTGAATTACATCCATGGTGGCCTAATGAAGATATTGTTGATTATTGTCGAACAAATAATATTGCTATTATGGGTTATTCACCATTAGGTAAAGGACATTTTCTTAATGATTCATATTTAATAAAATTAAGTGAAAAATATGGTAAAACACCAGCACAAATTCTTATACGTTGGTCATTACAAAATGGTTTTATTACAATACCAAAAACAACATCAGGCATTGAAAGACTTAAAGAAAATATGAATGTTTTTGATTTTGTTTTATCTGATGATGATATGAAAGATTTAACAAATTATGGTAAAAAACATCCACAAAATACAGGATGGGATCCAACAAAAAATGGTAAAGAACAATTTGGACCTATATAATTTTTTTTTTTTGATTGACTTAATTATTATTTTAATCATGATTTTTTTTTTGTTTTAAATATTTTTATTTTAATTATAGAATAACTATATAAGTTATTTTCGAATACGAAATATAAAATGATAATGCAAATGAATCATCTAGACATTAGAAATACAATAGTAATGACAATTATCGATTCACTTCTAATAATATTGTACTAGTTTAGATATACACGCATTGAATAATGATAGTCTTAGATTTATTTCAACTTTTTAGATCTGTAGCTGAATTTTGTAAAAACATGAATAAATCTTGGAAACTAAACTTTTCTCGAATGCAGAAATTAAACCCGAAAATTTTAATAAATAGCCTATGATCAAATAATCGAAATCAATTCAAAACTACTATATAGATTTATGGTTAGATTATAAGTACATGTTAAGATCAGTATGTCATCATTGTTGCTTTCCTAAATGATAGATACAATGATTGTAATTTATAGAGAATAGAACAAACTTTTTTCAACCGATAAGAAATTTAGAATTATACTGTTGAATTCGTGATATTTTACGTTTAATTCCATACGAATTTCTTGACCGGCCTTTCAATTCATATATATTTTACAATTTTATATAGAAAAAACAATTAAAATTTTCTTTATTATTTAAATATTGACGTCATAACTTATGAGAAAGTCTGAACAGAAAGTTGATATACAAAATATTATTAAAGAAAACTCTGCGCATTAAGGTTCTCGAATAGGTCATTGGTTCTGTCTTGAATTAGCCAAAGCTATTAAATACATAGATTGATTACTTTGTATGATTTTCTCTAAAGGTCCAACAAAAAAACTTCATTAATTTAGTTCGTTTATCGATCCTTTCACGTTATTATTATTATCTTATATAAATCTTTGATTAACTAATATTTTTGTCTGATTCATTATCATCATATGACAATCATCATAAGATCTACATATGAAAGATAAGAATAATAAATAAATTATTTTATACTATTCAAATGAAACACATTTAATAATTCTTTTAATTTCCAATTCAAATTTTTGCACTGTATAAAGTTAATATAACTCACAAAAAAGAAAAAATTCGGATATAAAAAAAACTTGCAAGTCAAGAAACATGTCAACATTTGTCTTTAATTACTTTCAATTTTTTGCACAAGAATCATTTTCTTTCTATTCAATTAAAAAAAAACAGATGTAATAGCAACGCTGATAAATATCTCAAATTTCATTGTAGGTATTTAATCTTTACATGTAATAAACAAAGTGCTATACATCAAACTTCTTGATAATATAAGATTCTAAAATTAATCATACAAAAATTCAACATATCTTCAAGAATGTTTTCTAAGCCTACTTCACAAAGTGAAAATGTTATTATTTGTCAGCGAAAGCAGTAAAAAACTTTGACATTTATATAAGAATGTCAAAACACTACATAAATTTCGTCTATCTGATGGAATGAAACAACAAAATTTTAAAGCCTACACAAATCTTGTAATTCTTTTAAAATAGCTTTGTTAAATATTCATTTATATAATATTATTCTTTGTAAATAGTTGATTACAAATCCTTTTAAATTACTACTTTAGAAATTAGATAATTAATAAATTTGATTTTTTTAATGTTAAATTTTATTAAAACAAAAAACTCAAGTGCATATAAATAGTCTCATTCTAATAGCTATATTATATATAACTTTCTTATCAAGATAAGCTTTCATTTATCATTGTAATATTATTATATAGCAAAACAAAAAAAAAAGAAGATACACAGATCATGATAGACATACACAAAAAAAGACTAACAATGTTTATATTATGTTTTAAATAGAAGTAAGAAAACTAAAAAAATTTTTATTTATAAATAATCAAGCCATTAATCACAATATGCTATGATTTTTGTTTTTGGTTATAAATCAATAATTAATGTTGACCTTAATATTGTACAGTAAACATATATTGATTAAAATCATCTTACAATCATGATATGAAAAATTATTTTTCAATTTACATAATGATCAAAACAAATTTTTTTTTGATAGTTAGTGAAATTATTTACCGATGAAAATAATAAATATATATATTTTATTCTTTTAGTATACGTTTTCAATCAACAAAAAAAGTTGACAATCTAGTTATGATAATACAATTTTGAAGTACTGCTATTGCTATTTCATAACAATAGTTATCATTTATTATCGATAGTTATAAACAATATTAGGTAAATCTAATGAATTGATTAGTATAAGAAATTATTAATTATGTTTGTAATCATTGAATTTATATTGTTACTTTCATAAGTTATCGACTGATAGGATGAAAATCATGTTCAAATTTCAAGAAAACCTTTTGATCTGAGTGACATCTATTAAAATAGAATATTTTATTTAAAGTTAAATCTAATGTTTAATTATGTATGACAAACTATTGTTTTAATAATAAAAAAGAATGAAATACCAAAAAAAATAACAAGAATGTCGCTTTTTTAAAGATAATACTCAGATTCGATTGGACGTTCTTTCTTTGAAGATTTTTTTATTTTTCGTCTTCTTCTTTCACTATAGTTCAATTCTTTCTTTTAAGTTCGTCTATATAAGTGTATAACAAAGCAAGTATTTGTTTATTTTTAATAGTTTTTCTTTATTTATTTAATAATCATTAATAGTTATTGTTTTAAGAGATTCTTTCTTTCTTTTCTAATTTAAAAACAATTCAATGCACCGAACGACAAAGCATAGATAGAGAGAGAGAGACACAGAGAGAGTAATCAGTCTCATATATATAGGCAATAAAGTATGTGTGAGCGCATGTATCAAATTTTCGATGTTTCGATCTTTTTTCTTTACATTTATGTTCGTTCGAAACACTTATAAAGTAAAGCGAAGCTCGCTGACATCGACGTCCAGAAGTGCGAATAAGAGAAATAAAAGAAAATGCATAGGAGAAAAAGAGAGGAACATAGGCGAGACGTAAAGTGTTTTGTGTCTGTATTATTAACTTGATCAGAGATCTTTTTTTTTTCTCTTTCTATGTTTTCTTTTTTTTTTTTTGTTTGGTATTGGTTACCCTAAATATATCTAACTCTATTCATCTATTGAACTTCTATATTTACCATCAGGTGAGACAAAAAAAGAAAAAACGAACTTTCATTTAGTTTTAATTGATAAACGTTTTCTTTTACTTTTTGACATTTAATACCTTTTTTTTTTTGTAGGCATCTAAAGTATTTGTATTATGTTATAAAACAGAAATAGTAAAAAAAAAAAGAAAAGAATGAAATGAACGAAAAAGACAAAAGTAAAGCTCTAACATGTACATATACCTATTTAGTTATTTTCGGCTCAAACAACCACTTATTCTTTTCTATTTGACTTGACCGAAAAAAAAATCGAGTGTGTATGTATTTGTTAAAGAGAAAAGAAGTGTACGAACGCGATGAAGAAAAAAAAAAAAGAAGAGTAAATCACGAGTACTTTAGTCCCTTTCACACAAACATTCACATACAGATGGATTATCTCTCGATAGTTTGTATAAGGCATCTGCTTACATTTTTTTTTCTTCTTCTTCTTCTATTGTCTGTATTTTGTTTCGACATGAATCGATTTGTTTGCATTACTAACTGGTAGTATTTGCAGCATTTTTGAAAAAAAGAAAAAACAACAAAGACGAAAGAGAAAGAGAAAATCTTCTTTTTTTTTTCTTGTCGTTAATATTAATGTACTTTGCTTGTCAAATGAAAGATATAAAGATATCAGAGATTTTATTAGTATTTAATATCGATTATAAATATTGTTATGATCGTTTTCTTGTTATTTAATATATGTATGGTAAAGTTTAATAAGAAGAGATTGTACTGTGTCTTCCTACACACGAACGCATAGTCACACATACACTTTATTTGGTATGATTCGTCATTCCACCTCCGTCCGCCTCGCTCTCTGTTTCATAGGTATGAATCATGAACAGGAATGATAATAATGTTAAAATAAAAACCGTGCCATTTTCTACCTGTTTTGCATAGAAGAGATAAAAAAAACACTTTTCTCGGTTTATATATGATGGGTTATTAGTGATTTTTTGTTAATAGTTTCGAAGTGCGCATACAACATTAATTTTTCGTATAGATAAGTAAGTAGAAAGTTTTTTTTTCTTTTTCATATTTCATAACTCTGAAGATCTGTCATCACAATGATGAGTGTATGTCACAAGGTCTCAATTATTTATGATTATTATATATGTCTGCAATAGCTCGAAAGATTATATAACCAAAGAAACGTATTTCTTTTTTTTTTCCTTCCCTCCTTTCACTGAACACATCTCGACCGAGCATATATACACGTACAATATTGCACCTCGCTGACTTGTCGAATGAACTGTTTTCTTTTGCCTCTATACATTCAGTCATCCAATCGATGAGAATACATATATGTATACATATATATATATATATAAAAGTGGCTTTTTTTTTCTCTTGTTTTAGATTTGAACAAAAAAAAAAAGTAAAAAAAGAGAAATGCCTACACCAACTAATAATAAATCAGGTGGTGTAATGGACAATGGTCATGAACCAGCTGAAATGAAATATTTACGTTCAACAGATATGAGTTCAAAAGATAGTATTACAGATGCAACAACAGCTAATGAATGGGCAGCAAAAAAATTTGTTTGGGTACCTGATGAACATGAAGGTTTTATTCGTGGTCAAGTACGACAAGAACAAATGGATGGACAATTATTAGTTGATTTAGAAAATGGTAAACGTGTTACTATACATAAAGATGATACACAACGTGTAAATCCACCAAAATTTAGTAAAATTGAAGATATGTCAGAATTAACTTGTTTAAATGATGCATCGGTATTATATAATCTTAAAGAACGTTATTATTCAGGTTTAATATATACATATTCGGGTTTATTTTGTGTTGTTGTTAATCCTTATAAACGTTTACCAATATATTCGGAAAATGTTATTGAAATGTATAAAGGAAAAAAA